CCTATCATTAAAACGCCTTTAGTTATACGAGAAAATTTAACTATTTTTATCTCAATTTTAACATTTTAGCATTTTTTTTGCATTGGGCAATAGATCAGGAAATATATTTAAAATGGACCCCATTAATATATCCTAAAATTTCAGGGGGAACGGATATTATGAGATGTACAAATTACCATGCTCACAAAGTCTCCTTGAGTAAACAGCTTGGAAATATTTATGAATAATATATAAATCTTCAAGACTGTACATCTGGAAACTCACCTTTCACCGAACGCCGATCTTTCCAAATACATTGTGCTTACAATAAGAGAAGAGCAGTCCAATTTTGCTATCATTGACTGACGGACAGCCATGTTTTGCTCAACCTGTAACTATGACCATAAGACCCTTTTAAGTAGATTATATAAACAGTTTGGAGAGGACATTTAAAATCTTACATCACAACTTTTTTCCACTTTTTTATCTATTTTGTTGCTTCAGAGGAACTCCTGGATACGGGACTACACCCACATAACAATTACAGTGGGAATGTCCTGCGTGTCACAATTCTACCCACCCGTGTCTCAGGACCACCAACATTTACCGCCTGCCCCAGTTCCTGTGATTCACCTCAGCAAGTACGACCCATCATTACACATTTTATTAATATTATTTTTTTATAATTGGTCGTGCTTTCGTGCTCGACTATATAGAATATCCAGTAAATGGAAGCCTGCGTAATGGAAATAATGGATAAACATTATACATAACCTATTCTAATAGCAACACAAAATAATAACCTGCTGTCTTAGCAACACAATTAATAAAACCTACTATCATGGACAATACATCATCTTGTATTCTTGTAATCCTTCTCATTGACTTGCGATTATGTTTTTGTTTTGGTTACTGTAATAAATTGTGACAATTGTGTATGGTAATTAATAAATTTCATACTCACTGTAACAATTTGTTACAAGTCAATTCAGCCGTAAACTTAATTAAATTTGTCTTCAATAAATTATACACCGTTAATTACATTTCTTTTAGAGTGCTATGAAAAAAAAAAAGGTTGTCTTTTTGTTGTGATTTTACAGTGAGTTTATGAGTTTAAATTGTCGTATTCCTGATGTAACAGGTTCGTTTGTTCTGGTGGAATATCTTTTATTGCACCCTCGTTCTAGGTATCTGTCCTTACATCTAAAAAGTTAATCTTTTATACAGAAGAAGTTAGTCGATTTAGTTTGGGCTAGAAAGTTTGTTGTTACGAGAATAATAAAGTTGATTATCATAGGTCCAATTATCCACGCACGCGCCAAAATAAATTTCGATTTTTTATTTTTTTTTATATTTTATTAGCCTTTCTTATTGCTTAGGACTAAATGTGATCTACAGTTGCAAAACAAACATTTGACGTTGTCTCGTTGTTCTCCTCTATCATCTCTCTCTTTTCTCTTAGTTTCGTCATACTTCTCCGGCAAAGGCTTGGATTAGTTTTCACGACTGATGTACGTAAACCATTCTGGCGTTGGACATTCTTATTGGATAACTTAGGTAGGACTTTCGTTCCCTCTTATCATGATAGAGTAGAGGTAAAAAGCACAACATTGTTGTGTTCAGTGCTGGTTATTTTAAAAATTCATCGTCCATACATGGCGTAATCGTCCTGGAAGTTCCTTTCCAGGCATGCTGCGCCCTACTTCCTCTTTCCCCTCTCCCAAGGGAAAGTAAGGCATGGGTTTCCGGACAGGGTATTCCTCCGTCCTTTCTTCCTTCTACCTCAGTGTCAGTCATAAGACTCCTGACATGTGTAGGCTAGATTCCAAGGTAAGGCCATGGTTTGGGTTGGTCGGTTAAACTGATGTCTATTGCTATAACAGACGCAGGGTCATTACAGATGCATGTATGTAAACTCTGCTTTTTACATCAATCAAGAGTGCTTTTTTCCCAAATCTGGGCTTATTAGGTTTTAAACATTAGTGCTTATATATACAGTTCTAGCTATGGACTATACATGTATTGTTCCTCTCACATGTGACACATCAAGAGATAATCAATCATCAAAATATGAATTTAATGAAAGGATGGGTCTTCCTCTCAACAGGCTGTGAGTCTCACTCATAGGCCTCTGATGTGTTTTATCTCCTCTTTTTCCAGGGTGAATCAGTCATGCGAGCAGAAATGGCGCCCAGACTTGGAAATTCAAATTCCCAGCCGAATTTGGAATTTCCTATGCTACCGGGGGACTTATTCAGTGAACTGGGAGGTAAGCCAAACATGTGTATCGTTATTTTTATGCTTTTTATTCTATTTTAATTTCCTAGTTGTTCTCCCATCTTTTCAGTAGGCCCTTATTTTCGCTTAATACATCTTAGACGGGATTTCTCAGCAGGTCTACGTACTTGGTGAACCGGTTGGGCTGACTACTAAATATCCTCTTCTATAAACGAAATATCTTAAAATTGCTTGCGCGATTTTTCTTGAGTTTCTCTCCAGTGTTTCCGAGCGTATATGACTTAAGTAGACTCTTGGGTTCGCTTCTATTTTCTAACGCCGGTCTGTAACTATCATAGTGGAAGGTTCTGAGTGTTATGGGCTGTGTTCATGCCTCTATATTATGGAATTGGATAAAGTTTGATGCCGGTGCATCTTCCCCCCCCCCCCCAAAAAACTAAAAAAAAAAACCCGGTTAGGGTTTTTGAACTGGTGCCAGCTCGCCAGAGTAATATAATATTCTGGATATCACGAGAGATCATTTTATTAGACACTTCCTCTCTAGGTCGTTGTAAATGGATGTAAAGACTAGCAAATGTTTGAACAGTTTTTTGGGTCATTTTTTTAAACCCGTGTCCAGACGAATAGTTCGTCTCTTAATGTTGCTATATAACACATATAATTAGCTTACTACAAAGCACATTATGCTTTGTCACATAATACAGCTGTCATATCTAACTATATACACACCATGTATCATGTAATGTTAGGTACAGCTGTATCATATTTTAAAGCAGCTCTCAATGATACTGGAGAGCATGCTTTTTGTCAGATAATTATTAATGCCAGATAACAAATTACAATGTCAGACAACAAATCATTTACAATGTAGATAACTTTGTGTATGTGCTTGCGGAGACGTTCCAACTTTATTCTGTGTGTGTTTCCACATGTGGTACTAGACAGCGGCCACTACACAGCCATCTCAGAGACTGGGTCCGCAAAATTGTTTTCCGGTACGACGTCTTAATGACGAGTAAGTGCTACATCAACAGCAAGAAACTTTCCTTCCTGCAGGGATGGCTCATCGTATACGGTTTTACGAGAATTTATTAACTTGAGTTCTTTTTTTCTTAAAAAAGTCACTATGCATATATGAAAGTCGATAACTTCATTTACGGAACAACTTGAAGTGTAAACAGACCGAATGGTGTAGTAGGAACTAGGCTTAGGCTTATTACAGGTACCTCGTGTACAGTTTGAATGCACACTGTGGAAAACTGCATTTATCTGGAATGTTACTTATGTACATAACAGTAATGAAACAAATAATTTTTAGTTATCAGTTTAAGAGTTAGGAATTTGGCTAGGACCACCTAAGTCGCTAAAAATGTCCCCCTTCGATACCTACCACTGTCTATCCACAAGTTGCTACTGGACCATATTAATCACTAATGAACACTATATCACAGGATTGCTGGTTAATAATAAATTTGTGGACTGTATATTAAGTTAAAAAATGATTATTTATAAATACACATGTATTTAACAGAAGCGAGCTAACTTTATTCTTAATCATAACACTCTCCATTTGTTGCGAAATCAAGGTGTATCATACTCAGAAAACCTCTGTCTATACATGAAAATAACAATGGCCAGAGTTATAACTATAACAGCTTTATCTGAGTTCCTGGAGCTGTCTTGCCTGTCGGCATGATAAGTCTCAAAGTTTTGGCAGGAATGTTCATCCCAACAATTTCACCTCCTATTTGAGATCGGTGTCCAACCCAATTTTAACCTCTAGTGCACCAAAAAATTCTTCCAATTTTCAAGGTGTATCAGTCTCTAGTGGAAGGAAGGCGGGTAGGGGTCGGCCTAGGAAAGGTTGGAGGGAGGGGGTAAAGGAGGTTTTGTGTGCTAGGGGCTTGGACTTCCAGCAGGCATGCGTGAGCGTGTTTGATAGGAGTGAATGGAGACAAATGGTTTTTAATACTTGACGTGCTGTTGGAGTGTGAGCAAAGTAACATTTATGAAGGGGTTCAGGGAAACCGGCAGGCCGGACTTGAGTCCTGGAGATGGGAAGTACAGTGCCTGCACTCTGAAGGAGGTGGTGTTAATGTTGCAGCTAAAAACTGCAGTGTAAAGCACCCTTCTGGCAAGACAGTGATGGAGTGAATGATGGTGAAAGTTTTTCTTTTTCGGGCCACCCTGCCTTGGTGGGAATCGGCCAGTGTGATAATATTAATAATAAAATATATATATATATATATATATATTATATATATATATATATATATATATAATGTATATATATATTATATATATATATATATATATAAACATATATATAATATATATATATATATATATATATATATATTATATATATATATATTATATATATATATATATATATATATATAATGTATGTGTGTGTTGTACAAAATACTGTAATAAAGTGTAAATTAGTACAGTAATTTGGGTTCTGTCTCAGTTATTCCTTGTAACAACGATAGCGAAAATATGTTGTCCCATTTTATTTGTTTCACGATGTTTCGCTTCATCCTGGACCATTATCAATTAATCCCTTGATAATGGTCCACTACCGTGGATTGTTCCAGCCACGGCAGTGGAGTCTTGAAATTTATTTGTAAATTGTTCCAGCCCGCGATGTTGTGGCCTTTGAAAGTTATCTGTATCTGTAAATTCTTCCAGCCAGGGTACTGCGGCATTGAGTTATAGCTGTAAATTGTTCTAACCACAGTATAGTGACCTTCAGTCACCATATTTCACACTTGGTACAGGAAACACAGCAGTGCACTTGGCCGCTGCGGGAGGCCATTTGGAAATCCTGAAGGTTCTGCGAGACAACAAGTGCGACCTTTCTAGCATCAACAGTGAGAAGGACACTCCTTTGCACTTCGCAGCACGTACTAACCAGTTACATGTGATAAGGTGGCTGCTGAAGAGAGATGTCGAGTGCAGCGTGTTGAACGAACGCGGGCAAACTGCCGAGGATATCGCAAGGAAAAATAACAATAAGCATGCAGCTGACATGCTGAAGATACATAAAGGTCCAGTAAGCACCAAGGTAAGATCTGATTGCTGACAGTAGGATTGAGGTGTTGAGGAGAGGCGACAGCATGATTGGGGTATTGAGGAGAGGTGACAGCATGATTGGGGTATTGAGGAGAGGTGACAGTATGATTGGGGTATTGAGGAGAAGTGACAATATGATTGGGGTATTGAAGTGAGGTGACAGTAGGAATGAGGTGTTAAGGAGACTAGTAACCGTAGGCGTATGATGAAAAGGTTGCTGACGGAATAGGATGATGGATATGGGTGACGAGAAAGGTGCTGATGGCAGGAGCCCTGTAAGTCCTGCCACAACCAAGGATACTGTCTGCTCATGTTGACAATCTTTGTTAACACATTAATTGCAGATATTCCGTCAAGAGGATATATGCAATAAGCCCTTCATACAACGGACTTCGGAAATACGGAACAAAATGCACTAGGTTAATCGAGCTGGAAACAGTGGAGAGAGTACGTTGGTTACAGAATTATCCATTAGTAATATAATCATGACCCAACAATCTCTTCTCTGTCTAACACAGCTGCCATAGCCGACCACCCGCTCCCACATCTCCCAACTGGTCCGTTATATGTGTATGTATACATAGGTCCCTTGTAAGTTGTGTGTTGACGTGAATAAATGGTTTACAAAACCGACAAGCTGATAAATGAGACACTTGTGGAACACTGGACTGAACACATCGACTCCAGGCTGAGGGACTGACTACCTCAAACTCATCTTCCACCGTTTCCCTGCATTGGACTGAAGAAGTCACTGCGAGGCGAAACATTTCCAGAATAAAGATACCTAAATGTTGCACAAATGTGTGTGTTTATACACATTCTACGCACGTCCATTATCAAATATGCGTGCGTAGATCCACGTACATACAGATAACAACACAGGGGAAAATTTATAGAACTTGACTACAACATGGTAAACTGGCGGACACATCGGTGTATATTGTGCAATATAAAAATGGGAAATGAGAATATATTCTATACTACTGGCCTATATTGCTGATACGTAGCAGTGTAAAAACACCGGAAAAAGCCTTAAGAGAAAATGGGATAAAACACTTGGAGAGCAGACACCTGCTACACATTACTGGCAAACACCTGCCACACATTACTGGCAAACACCTGCTACACATTACTGGCAAACAATTCGGTCAGCAAATTCCTCTATATAAAAACTTTTAAACTCTTCTGGAAGTCCTCGATTTTTTATATTTACCTAAATTTCAAGATAGCTTTCGATAAAATTCTACATTAATGACTAACTTGATAAGAGGATAAATGAAGTCATGGAAATATATCAGCAGTGGGGTAGCATAAGATTCATTGCTGAGACAGATGAAGACAGAAGCGCAAATGGCAGAACAAAGATTATAAAGTATCTTCAACACGGAGAACATGAGGTCACAATTATACATTAAGAAAATGGAGCTATATAAATTTCTTAGTATCGTACAGCACTGTCACCAGGGAGAAAAGGAAGTTACATTTGTAACCTAACAAAAATGTTGTTCCAAGACAGTATACTAGAGAATATTCTATAACAGAGGCAGACTCCGGGATCCAGGATGAGGTAGTGTGCCGCAAGGCACGGGAACTAAAAAGTTACATGGTAATTATACACTGAAGACAAGATGTCAAGAATCACACTCGTAGCTGTGCTCTAAAAAATAGGCATTTTTTTAATCATATATGAGAGTACGGAGTGAGAATAAGCACTGGGTATATAACACCATATCAGAAAAGGTCAAGTAATTTGAAGCATATCACAGGTCATAAAGGGTTAACAGGTGATATAATGATTTAATGAACCTTGTGTCGATTGAGCTTATGCACTTAAATTAGTACTTAGAGTACTTAGATTAAAATTAAAATTTATGCACTAATCAGGCGAAATTTAATATTTCTTTGTAGCCAAAGATAGTTTACCTGTCTGGAATATTTTATTTATTAGATAATATCATATATAATAATGAATATATTACTAAATGGACCAATTTTAGAAAAAGTAGTAATATTATGTAGCTCCTGAAGATACCATGGTTGACGTGAAACTTACTACAGCAGAGGGAAGAGCAGAGCGGCACAGCGAGTGTGAGCGGAGCCTCGCAGTCTCAGCCAACACCAGAACCAAGCAAGGACATGCCACAAGGGTTGAGGAGTCTGGGTAACACCTGTTACATGAACTCCATCATACAGTGCCTTTATAACACCTCCACACTCACTTCCTACTTCCTCGACGACTCATGGAGGTAAGATGAGTTATAATGATATACCTCCCCACTCATTTAATAATAATTATAATCCACACTCATTATTTCTTCGGACTAAGACTTCACACACACACACAGTATCTATAACACCGTCACACTCACTACCTCCTCAACGACTCATGCAGGTGAGATCAGAGACAAAGTTGATGCAATATGAACTGCAATATAATTTTGAGACAATCAGTTCCACAGCTCAGCCTTGATAGAACGTGGTCAGTCCCTTAAACATGAGGGACTAACTACCCCTATATTTACTACAATATTGCTGAAAAACCTTTACTCAAACATTACAGTATTCAAAGGTTATACATACATTCATACTAATATAAAATATAATTTAAAACAAAATACAGATTTGTTGTTTTTCTGCGATGCTACAACATCTGTATGGTCGTGTAAATGATATTTAATAAGACTTTCCGTCTCCCTCATTAAGTCAAAATACGATGAAAGCTGTTTGAGTAATACAAGAGAAGTAACATTTTGGTGCACTCTTAATTAACCATTAACATTCACGGCTTCAGAAATCGTATAAATAAAAATAGCGAGTATGGCGGGGAGGTAGTAGCGGCCTATGGTGACGTGGTACGTCAGCTGCACGCCCGAGGCAACACCTACTACACCATGAGAAACCTTAAGGTACGAGAACCTTCCGTCTTGTCTGTGTGTCTTGTTCACACATTCTCTCTCTTATCAAATTATGATAGAACATATAAATGCAAACAGTATTTCATTAATATAAAGTTGTGGGAGGAATTGTATTGATGTATTGTGGACGTGGTCATGTATGTGTGTGATTATTTGTTTACCTGTTTGTAATTACAGGAGCAGAACCATGCCCACTGTGCCCCGACTTCAGTATTTAGGCTTTCATACATTTATTTTATAAAGTTTCACTTTATAAAAATATACGAGATAATACTAAACAATAATTAGAAAAAAAAGTCGTAATAGTATAACTGAAAATAGCTCAGGAAATGGGTGGGGATCGAACCCATGGCAATCAAGTCCTGAATTTAGCAAGCCAGTGTTCTCGTCACGAGAGAACATTGATGCTATTGACCTATATGTGGCAATATCTAAAGTATACTATTAGCTCTACGATGTGACCGACAACAATAGATTAACATTTAAGTACACATATATACCAGCTGCTAAATGAACATAGGAAGCAGATTTAAAGAGACATGTCTATATGTCACCCAGCAGAGGAATTTAATTTGGGTTTTTATGGTTGCGAGTTGAACGTTTTATAAATTACCGAGTTACCTGATGCAAGACAGATTTTTCATATAAGCTGAGGTAGGATAGCAGCTCGTAGTTTGTTAAATGTAGCCGCCATATTTTTTTTTTTGACGCGATAAAGTGCAATTTTTGCAACAGACGATCTTGGGTGAACACGACGAGATGTTCCAGGGGCGTGAGCAACAGGACGCTCACGACTTGCTCTCCCTTCTACTCCATGCCCTCGACAGAGACCTTCAGGTGGGTCATGAATAAAACAGATGAACACACAGACACAATGATAGACATTGTATATATATATACCAATTTGTCCTCTACGATTATAAATATGATATAGATTAAATTATAGCCAGATGAATTACCAATTATGAGTTGAATTTCTTTTTTCTAAATAAGGTTTCAACATTTTACAATACATGTTTACTTATCTTACTTATGTCTTAAGATATCTAAGTATGAAAAAAACAAATACAGCAAAGCCCCCTTTTTTTCCCCTATATACAATGAACAGTGGCAGAGTCAGTCACACATAGCTGACCTCTTCATCGGTACTCATCAGTCCAGCATCGTTTGTCTGGAAACAGGGAAAGAAATTTCTTCACTGAAAGAGCTCTTCTCCAGCCTGACACTTGCAGTTGATCCACAGAATGGTAACGACATTTGCACACTCAAGGTAAGAACGGTTACTTAAGTAGCCTCCTTTAAAGAACTATAATGGCTATCGGACCGTTTTTTCTTATCTTCTTCCTCCACTGTTTCTGTGGTAATTTAAAAACGCATCTTCTGATTGGCTGTAAACTTTCAGAACTTGTGTATCTTAAATAGTGCAAAAGTTCCAGTGCTATAACTTCTGAGCAGCCTCAAACTTGAAACACAAACTTCTGAATGATATTGCCGTATTTAGGGGCTAATTTGCCAATTTGATTAGAACATTGTGTTTTTTTTACATATCTTGAAATATATCTTTTAAACAGCTTCAAACTTTGATGTTCATGTCTGAAGGGAAAATTCATTATATAACATACATGCATAGGTGAAAATTTGCCAGTTAACTGTGTTGATAGACTATGGTTTTGGTTTCCAAGTGATAACTGGAGAATACCTCTTACTTCCATCATACTATCATCACTAGGTTAGGTTAGGTTTGTCAGGAAACAGAACAAGTGTTTCCTGACGCGGGTCTTAGTAATATGATGACCCGTTGCTGGAGCTTTTTAGTCATCTGACCAAGCCTTCCGCTGGCTTACTCTGTGTAAGTCTCAATTTGCTGTTTTTAAGGAAATTTGGATAATAGTATCCTTGAATTAACTGAAAAATGCCTTTTTTGAACGACTTCAAGTTTTCAGTGACGGTGTATCTTACAGGAACAGGTAGAATATATTTTAGGCAGTGTAAATGACAATTTTCCTTAAATGGGAAAAATAGCATATTGGTTTCCATGCGATAAATTGTGACTGCCTTTAGTAATCAACTTCAAGCCTTCAATCCGGCTAGGTCCGGGTTCGATTCCCAGCAAGGGTAGAAAAATTGGGCGTGTTTCTTTACACCGGTTGTCTATGTTCTCCCATCAGTTGGGAGTTAGTCGACTGGTGTGGGTCGCATCCTGGGACAAAACTGACCTAATTTGCCCGAAATGCTCTGCATAACAAGGGGCTTTCTATATAGTAGTATGTCATTGATGTCAGCTAGGCCAGTATACCTTGTACATGTACTTGCAGAAATAAAAAATATTGTTATTATTAAAGGGACTAACTTCACATTCCTTTAAAACCCTTGAAAACAGCTCGTCAGGGCCAGGTGACTTGTTCTGTTTTACACTACTCAGATAATACCTTAAGCCCATGTAATCTGCTGTACGAATACTGGGGAACCTTGACTTTGTTATTGTTGTTAAGGTAATGCCAGGAAATATTAAAACTAAGTAATTTGTTATCACTGTCTCCAAGCTCTTCATTAACCTCTATCATTTATCAAAATTATCAGCGTTCCAAATCATGGTACCTCTTAATGTTGTTGATCTACAGCTCCTGTTCGTTTTCAGAGTCTTAAAGTACAGGTGTAAATACTATACCTCGTGGTATAAACCTTGGTAATAAATACCGACAAGTTGGTTTAGAAAGACACGTAAGCAAACACTATAACATATTTATTAGAAAACGTTTCGGTCCTGGGAAGTGATCAAGGTCCCAGGACCGAAACGTTTTCTAATAAATATGTTATAGTGTTTGCTTACGTGTCTTTCTAAACCACTATACCTCGTGCATGTATTGAGACACAGTAGACTGGGGTTATGGTGCTACTCTTCTCAGACTGCACCACTAGCGAACCATCTAATTAAAGTAGAGGGGACGTACTGAGGTGTCTTATACAGCTTATGGGGTATGGGAGGTAATCAAGTTTGATCCAGAGAATCGGAGGGTAGCTTCGGTTTCATGAAACAAGAGACCTTCAGTAGCATATAGGCATCCCCCACCCCATCCCGCCCTCAAAAGTGGAGGTGAGGGTAAGTTAGGTTATTACTTATTAGGCTAATTTCACAATTTTATAAGATTCATAAGTCAGAACAGTGTCTTGCAGATCGCTTTTCTTTGTGACAAAGCTGTACGAATTTAAACTATTTGATAATTCGTTTACTGAATGTTTTGCCACTGATGAAATTTTAAATAAATGGTCAGTTATCTCAAACCAAAAGCGTAAAGCTACCTGTGTTTTTTTCCCGTCATGTCTTGTCAGTTTTGCTATTCCAAAAATGCTTTAGCTAAAAATATACCGGATTAATTAAATATCTGTTTTAAATGCACAAATTAATTCAGTGAGCTGCTGTGTTTAGGGAAGCTACGCTGCCTATCATTAAGCGCCTTTAGTGATACGAGAAAAATAAACTATTTTTATCTCAATTTTAACATTATAGCATTTTTTTGCATGGGCAATAGAACGGATTAACATGGACCCCATTAATAATCCTAACCTTTCGGGAACGGATATGAGATGTACAAATTACCATGCACACAAAGTCTCTTGAGTACACAGCTTGGAAATATTTATGACATAATATATAAATCTTCAAGACTGTACATCAGGAAAACTCACCTTTCACCGAACTAGTGAGGTATCCGGGTGACACTCTTCACGTGTTGCGCGATCTTTCCAATACATTGCTACAATAAGAGAAGAGCCGTCAATTTTGCTATACATTGACTGAGGACCAGCCATGTTTGCTCAACTGTAACTATGACCATAAGACCCTTTAAGTAGATTATGTAAACAGTTATGGAGAGGACATTTAAAATCTTAGCTCACAAACTTTTTTTCAACTTTTTTATCTGCTTTTGTTGCTGCAGGAACTCCTGGAACGGTACTACACTCCACATAACATCCAGTGGGAATGTCCTGCGTGTCACACTACCCACCCGTGTCTCAGGACCACGCACATCTACCGCCTGCCCCAGATCCTAGTGATTCACCTCAGCAAGTACGACCCATCAATACACATTTTATATTATTTAAATTGGTCGTGCTTCAGTTCTTCGACTATATAGTACTATCCAGTAAATGGAGCCTGTGTAATGGAAATATGGAAACACATTAAACAACCTATTCTAATAGCAACACAAATAAAACCTGCTGTCATAGCAACACAATAAATAAAACCTACTATCATGACAATACATCATCTTGTATTACATGAAATCCATCACATTGACATGCGATTTTTTTTTTGTAACTGTAATAAATTGTTACAATGAGTATGAAATTAATAAATTTCATACTCACTGTAACAATTTGTTACAGTCATTCAGCGTAACTTATTAACATTTATGTTCCATAAAACTATACACCGTAATACATATCTTTTAGAGTGCAAACAAAAAAAAAGGTGTCTTTTTGTGTGCTTATACAGTGAGTTTACATGTCGTATTCCTTATGTAACAGGTTCGTGTACAGGTGGAATATCTTCTTATTGACCCTCGTCTAGGTAACTGTCCTTACATCTAACAAGTTAATCTTTTATACAGGAAGAAGTTAGTCGATATTAGTTTGGCTAGAAAGTTGTTACGAGATAATACTGTTGATACATAGGTCAATTACTCCACGCACGCGCAAAATAAAATTTCGATTTTTTATATTTTAAATAGCCATACTTATTGCTTAGACTAAATGTGATCAACAGTGCAAACATTTGACGTGTCTCCTCTCTCTCTCTCTCTTTCTCTTAGTTCGTCATCTCTCCCGGCAAAGGCTGAAAGATTTCACGACTTGATGTACGTAACCCATTCTTGGCGATGACATCTTATTGGATAACTTAGGTAGCCTTCGTTCCCACTATCATGTAGAGTAGAGGTAGCACCACATTGTTGTGTTCAGTGCTGTTTATTTTAAAAATATCATCGTCCATACATGGCGTATCGTCCTGGAAGATCCTTTCCAGGCATGCTGCGCCTACTTCCTCTTTCCCCCTCCCCCAGGGCAAGTCAGGCATGGGTTTCCTTGCATGGTATTCCTCCTCCTTTCTTCCTTCTACCTCAGAGTCAGTCATAAGACTCCTGACATACTGTAGCTAGAATTCCAAGGTAAGGCATGGTTTGGTTGGTCGGTTAACTGAATGTAAATTCTATCAACAGACGAGGGTCATTACAGATGCATGTATGTAACCTGTTTACTATCAATCAAGAGTGCTTTATTCCCAAATCTGGGCTTAATAAGGTTAAACAGTAAGTGCATATATATATACAGGTATAGCTCATGTATACATGTATTGTTCCTCTCAATGTACACATCAAGAGAAATCAACTCATCAAAATATGAATATAATGAAAGGATGGGTCTTCTCTCCCTCAGGGTGAGTCACTCATAGGCCTCATGATGTGATATATCTCCTCTTTTTCCAGGGTGAATCAGTCATGGAAGCAGAATGGCGCCCAAACTTGGAAATTCAAATTCCCAGCGGAATTTGAATTTCCTATGCTACCAGACTACTACAGTGGAACTGGGAGGTAAGCCACCAAGTGTATCGTTATATTTCATGCTTTTTATTTATTTTTATTTCCTAGTTGTTCTCCCATCTTTTCATGCCCTTATTTTCGTAATCCCTCTTAGTCCTGGAATATCTCAGCAGGTCTACGTACATGGTGAACCCCGGTTGGCAGACTGCTAAATATCCTCCTTAAACGAAATACTTAAAATTGTTGTCGATTTTTCTTTTTCCTCCAGTGTTTCCGAGCGATGACTTAAGTAGACTCTTCTGGTTCGCTTCAAATTTTCTACGCCGGTGTACCTAACATAGTGGAAGGTTCTGAGTGTTATGGGGCTGTGTTCATGCCTCTATAGATATTGACTTGGAAGTTTGAATGCCGGTGCATCTTCCCCCCCCCCCCCAAAAAAAAAAAAAAAAAAAAACCCGGTTAGGGTTTTTACTGGTGCCAGCTCGCCAGCGTAATATAATATTCTGGATATTCACGAGAGACTCATTATATTAGACACTTAAAGGTTTTGTAAATGGATGTAAGACTAGCAAATGTTTGAACAGTTATTTTGGGTCATTTTTTAAAACCCGTTTCCAGACGAATAGATCGTCACTTAATGTGCTAAATAACACATATATTCTTATACAAAGCACATTATGTGTCCCATAGATACAGCTGTCATATCTAACTATATACACACCATGTATCATGTAATTGTTAGGTACAGCTGTATCATATTTAAAGCAGCTCTCAATGATACTGAGAGCTGCTTTTTGTCAGATAATTATAATGCCAGATAACAATTACAATGTCAGACAACAACAATTACAATGTCAGATAACTTTGTGTATGTGCTTGCAGGAAGACGTTCAACTTATACGGTGTGTGTTACCACAAGGGTACTATGACCAGCGGCCACTACACAGCCATCTGCAGAGACTGGGTCCGCAAAAATGTTTGGTACGAGTTTAATGACGAGAAAGTGACTCAACTCAAAGAAACATTTCCTTCCTGCAGGGATGCTCATATACTGTTTTACGAGAATTTTTAACTTGAGTTCTCTAAGTCACTATGATAATATGAAAGTCGATAACTTCATTTACGGAACAACTTGCAGTGTAAACAGACCGAATGGTGTAGTAGGAACTAGGCTTAGGCTTATTTACAGGTACTCGTGGCAGTTTGAATGCACACTGTGGAAAACTGCATTTATCTGAATGTATCCTTATGTACATAACAGTAAATGAACAAATAATTATTATTTATCAGTTAAACGAGTAGGAATTTGGGACACCTAAGTCGCAAAAAATGTCCCCCTTCGATACCTACCACTGTCATATCCACAAGTTGCTCTGGACCTATTAATCATAAATGAAATATACATCACCAGGAATGCTGGTAAATATATAAATTTGTGGACTGTATATTAAATTAAAAAATGATTATATATAAATACACATTTATATAACAGAAGGAGAATATATCTTAATCATAACACTCACCAATTTGACTGGAAATCAAGGTGTATCATACTCAGAAAACCTCTGTCTATACATGAAAATAACAACTGGCCAGAGTTATAACATAACAGACTTATCTGAGGTTCCTGGAGCTGTCTTGCCCAGTCGCCTGATATCTCAAGTTATGCAGGAATGTACATCCAACAATTTCACCTCCTATTTGAGAGGTGTCAACCCAATTTTAACCCTCTAGAGCACCAAAAATTCTTCCCATTATTCACAACGTCTTATTCAATTCAAACAAAATGGCGACTGTCCTTCTGCCCAGGTGCAGAATATCCCATTTTCTATGACAAATTTTTATTAAAAACAACATAGGCCATCTATTTACCTATAAATTACCGTATTTTCGGGAAATATACGATATTTTGCACACTGCGCCCGGGCGGAGGTCGTTGCTAAATGACTCAAATTGCACATTTGGCAAAGGTGTAGGACCTAGGTACATAAAGGATCTGGCATCCACACGGCGACATATTACACAAGATTTAATCACCCTTTTTACACTTTGCCGTCCTTGTGGAATCCAGAAAGTTTCCCTAATACAATTTAAGGGATTTGTACCTCACCATTCATTAAATTTTTATGGGCATTTAGAACAATTAAATTTGTTAGATGATGAGTTTTGGGCAGTAAGAGAGGGTGTTTAGCATAATCACCCAATTCAGCATTTTGTAACCCACCTCTGCACCTAATTAAAATTGTTCTCTAAATACAAACCCCAATTTTCTATTATGGAACCTTTCACAATTTTTCTTTCCATCATCAGTTTAATCTCATTTCCAGATTTCTTCTTGTACCCTCTTTATCCAATATTCAAGAGGATGTGAAAACTTGTTTGAAATATTCATCTTGTTTAGAAATTTAAACACCAACTTAGTTACACTGATTAGTTTGGGTAGAGAAGAATACCTATTTATATTAATGGCTAAGGAAGGACAAACTATTGGAACGGTGGTCACAGTAATTTCAACAGGAGCAATATACGCCTTTTGTACAGGCCAATTAGCTTTATTTACCAACCAGCTCGGTCCTTTAAACCATGATACAGCATTTACAAATTTAGCATAAGGTAAACCTCGAGACAAGAAATCAGCTGGATTCTCCTCACCAGGTATATGATTAAATGTTAACATATGCTGACCCAAACTATTATACTTCTCTTGCATCTGATTAATTTCAGCGACTCTGTTTTGTACGTACACAATTTTACTGTTTCCATTACGAATCCATTGTAAGGATACCTCATTATCAGACCAAATTACAGTGTCGCTAATATTTATCTCCTGCAACTTATTTCTTATATAATTAGCTAATTTGACACCTACATAAATGGTTGTTAATTCCAACTGATGCAAGGTACGTGATTTAATTGGAGACACTTTAGCCTTAGACATAACAAGAGAAATGACACTATTACATTGAAGGTAAGCAACTGCTCCATATGCCAATTTTGAAGCATCACAAAAAATGTGGAGTACATTTTTCCCATTTGGATTGGCCACCTGGCGTGGGAACTCCAACATTGGAATTTACTCATAATCACCAATTAATTCATCCCACCTGTTAATGAATTCCTCAGGTAGAATTTCATCCCAAGCACATTTAAGTTTCCATGCTTCCTGTATTAATAATTTCCCTCTTATAGTAAGGGGTGACACTAAATCTAGTGGATCAAAACATTTGGAAACTTCAGCAAGCAAAACTCTCTTAGTTAATTTATTGGGCATACTGTAATTACTAGGTTTTAACATTAACAAATCTCTCTCAGTATCCCAAGTTAATCCTAATACATTACTACATTTTGGTATTTCATCTCCAGGGAAATCTTTACTTATTTTGTCCTTTAATTTGGACGAATTACTATTCCATTCCCTCAGAGGCATATTTGCACTTTGCATTATTTCATTAGCCTCTCCATAAGTCATTAACAGTTCCTCTTCAGTTGATGTCACACCCAGGAAATTGTCCACATAAAATTGTTTGCTCATTACTTTACTCAATGGACTTTCCATACGTTTAAGGTGTGCATTTATCGTCGCTTGAAGTAGGAACGGACTGGATGCAGCACCAAATAATATACTCCTAAAGCGAAAGGTTTTCAGAGGGCTAAGTGGGTCAATAGGATTCTCAGGCCATAAGAAGCGGGTACAATCCCAGTCAGCCTCTTGTAAACCCACTCTCAGGAAAGTTTTACTTATGTCAGCCGTAAAGGCATAATGCTTCACTCTGAAATTTAATAAAATATCTCCTAATTTTTCCGTCAACGACGGACCTGTAATCAAACAGTCATTTAAACTAGGTACATTTTTGTTACTCCTGGCACTACAATTAAACACAATCCTCAAAGGAGTGGTCTTAGAATCCTTCTTCACTCCATGATGTGGCATATAGTGACCATAAATTTTGGATTGCTCAGGAGGTACCTCTTCTATAAATTTATTAATTAACTGCTCAGCAATTATATCATTATAGGCAGTTAACAATTCTGGTGTCTTACTCAGTTCGCGGAGCTGAGCCTTTAATTGTCCATATGCCAATCTGTAATTAGTGGGCAATTCTGGATGGTTCAGTCTCCACGGAAGTCGTACCCAGTATTGTCCAGATTCAAATTTTACATCTCTCAGGTATTGCTCCTGAGTAAATGAATCGTCTGGACTTTCTACATTTACATTTATTCCACTGCTGTCTAATTCCCACAATTTATGCACTGGCTCAACACCACCCTCTATGGAAGAATTATACTGGGGTACGATTTCATGAGTAAGACACACAGTTATGGTATTTGTAGTTTCCTCTAGTCATGAATTATTGTTACGAGGAATCCTACAATACATTACATGGCCTCCTGCAGTCTTCAAAAGGGTGACACCACATTTCTTTACCATACCCTTTACAAAGGAGGCATAATAGTCACTACCTATCAAAATATTTATTGGGCCTACAGAATCATCACTTACCCCAGAAGGTGCTAAATTTACATTATGTGAAAGTCTTTCTGTAGCTTTACTAAGCCCTACTGTAGATATTTTCTCTGGAAGTCTATCTACAATTACTGCATTAACACATTTTTTCTCATTGCCCAACCTGACAGTTACATAAACAGTGTCATACAATTGAGCTCTTTTATCTGAAGAAAAACCAGATAATTTTAAAGTTGTGGGATCTCCCATCTGAACTTTCATACCATCAAGACATTTACGTTTAATGAAAGTACGTTGGGATCCCTGGTCTAATAATGCAGTTACATTTTTTGATCTATGCCTTTTATCATCAACTTTTACCTGTAACACAGGTAAGGCTACTTCAGTAAAACCATCATTATTAATATTAGCAGCAATTTTTACATTAGCCACTGTTGTGTCAGGATTGTCAACATTATCATTATTATCAACATTATCATATAGACCTTTACACATGACTATATGGTGTCTTCCTTTGTGACATTGATAACAAAAGTTTAATTTGGCATAAAAATCCTTTACATTGTGATTACCAAACACCTGATGCATCTGTCAAGTTCCTCCAATCTTTCAGCTTTATCATTCCATGAATTGTATGCATTGCAATTCTTAGAAAAATGAGTACCCTTGCAGAAAAGACAATCTCTCTTTTCTCTGACAGGTTTCTTATTAACTGGGCTACTCTTAGAAGGGTACTTATTCTTCTTACCTTGTGGAGAATCATTATTTCTGATTCCTCCTAATTGATATGCATCTATGCAACTCTTTTTAGGAAATGAAATTTGATTATTACCATCGGGATAATTTTTCCCTTTGTGAAACTTGACAGATACCTCAGTTATTATGTGTTGCATCTTTAAAATGAGTTGGTTGGCTGGTCTGCAACTGAAAAATTAATTCTTGTAGACCTAGTCTTATTTCCTCCAGACCAAAATAACCCTTGTGATATTTATTCGAGAGCCATTCAAGTGTTTTACAGCTTAATTTATTCTGTACCATGGCACTCAATAACCAGTCTGATTCCTTCAGATTTTATTTATTACTTAAAGTTTTGAGAGTGCTCTCCAGTTTAACTCTAAACTGCTGTAAACCTTTGTAAGTGTGATCTGGAGATTTTAAATTAACAATGATATTCACTAGATCCAACCTACTTTGTTCTATATTACCATAAGTGACTTCCAACAAGTCAACTGCTTCCTTGTAAGAGTCATCTACATTGGGAAAGGCTTGTATGAGTATGTGAGCATCTCCTCTTACCTGTCCTTTGAGGTAAAATAATTTAGTTACACAGGCTAGATCACCCCTATCATGCACAGCTGCTTTAAAAATTGACCAAAACTCCTCCCAGTTTTCTCCAGGATTAAACACAGGCAAACACAATTCTGGGAGTTTTGGCAAAGACATATTATTTGTTGGAGCAGACTGATTAACTGCCTGGTTTACACATTTTAATTTATTCATGGCCTGACTTTTACAAGAAAGAATCTTTTCCTCTAATTCATAATACTGATCTATTTCAGTCTCATCTACACAGTTTACTAACAAATCTTCATAATTGTTGTAATATAATTTGTATGAATCATATCTATTACCTAAAGCATCTAAATACAATTTTATATCATCAGTATTCACAGTTTCTTGATTCATTAATTCCAAACATTTATTGTATGCTTTTGTTACATGCCTTTTTCTAGCTTGCAGTGATGCTTCCTTTGCTCTGTATTCCATATGTTTGTCTTCTATATTAATTTCCTCATTTTCAGCCATGATGCAATGTATTAAATTCAACTTTATTAATAACACTGATTACAACTTACAACACTGATACAACTTACTTTGAATAAATCCTACCTACTTGAGCTTAGCAATTACATGTAAGAAAATAATATAAACTTCAAATGTACATTAATACAAACCTTTAGCCAGACTCGGCTTATCAAAATTAATATTATACAAATTAACATAAATCCTTGCCAGAATTTGGCATAGCAAAATTAATATTATACACAATATAATCTTTAGCCACACTTGGCTTATCAATTACACATACACTGATATAAATCTTGGCCAGAATTGTCTTATGAAATTAATATTATACAAATATAAATCCTTGCCAGAATTTGGCATAGCAAAATTAATATTATACACAATATATTCTTTAGCCACACTTGGCTTATCCAAATTAATATTGCAATAATTATAATCCACTACACATTAAGTAAATTTGTGAACTTAACATCCACCTCCTCCTGTTATTTCACATATAATTATTAAGTAATTAACTAATTAATGACTTCACTAATTACATCCGGTTCGAAGGACCAATGGGCAAATTAAATGTGGAAAATTGCATTTATCTAAATGTATCCTTATGTACATAACAGTAAATGAACAGATAATTATTATTTATCAGTTAGACAAGTAGGAATTTGGGACACCTAGGTCGCAAAAAATGTCCCCCTTCGATACCTACCACTGTCATATCCACAAGTTGCTCTGGACCTATTAATCGTAAATGAAATATACATCACCAGGAATGCTGGTAAATATATAAATTTGTTGACTGTATATTAAATTAAAAAATGATTATATATAACTACACATTTATATAACAGAAGGAGAATATATCTTAATCATAACATTCACCAATTTGACTGGAAATCAAGGTGTATCATACTCAGAAAACCTCTGTCTATACATGAAAATAACAACTGGCCAGAGTTATAACATAACAGACTTATCTGAGGTTCCTGGAGCTGTCTTGTCCAGTCGCCTGATATCTCAAGTTATGCAGGAATGTACATCCAATAATTTTGCCTCCTATTTGAGAGGTGTCAACCCAATTTTAACCTCTAGAGCACCAAAAATTCTTCCCATTATTCACAATGTGTTATTCAATTCAAACAAAATGGCGAGTGTCCTTCTCGCAGATGCAGAAAATTCCCATTTTCTATGACATAATTTTTATTAAATACAATATAGGCCATCTATTTACCTATAAATTACCGTATTTTCGGAAAATATACAATATTTTCCACACACACTTTATTATGAAACTCAGACTAAATGTAAAAATGTGTGGTTAGATTTTGATCACTCTTGAACACCTTATGACTGATTATTTACTTATTGAGAAATATAGAGACAGTATAAAATCCTGTGATATGTCAACGTATCTTATTAATGAAAAATAAGGTACCAGACATTTTATGCAAATATCCAAAATTTTGCTTCCAGCAGATGAAACATGTATTGTAAATATATATCCAGATGTACCCACATTAAACCTGGAAAAGTAGACACAAATGCAGTATAAAACGATCCTTTCCATCGTGTGGGTATTTTATACCATTTATCTTCCATCTTGTTTGCCCTTTTCGAGCCTAGTTCATAGGCCTTTTGTGTATCCATATGCTGTTATGCTACCGTACACAGGAATGGATATAAGGTGCACAATGAACTAGCCACATCGGCGAGAAAATCTAAATCTAGGTGAGCCGAGGACGCTACAGGGAACCCAGATATTGATTTTACACAAGCTTGGGCAATGTGAAGACACACACATTGCAGAGAAAATATTGTTGTATTTCGCTCTGCATAGAGATATATCAAATAATGACATAATAAAGCTCTTTACGAGGTGCAATGTTGTTTCAATAAATTATTGTTCCGCAACGTGCGTCAGTCTTCTTACTTTTTGTAGCCAGAACGCCATTTGGAACTAGGGGCAGTGTGACTGAATTTTTTGTCAACCATCGGTACATTGTGCGACCTCCAGGTATGACCTAACTTACAGAATCCTCCTGCCCAGGCGAAACGTTGTCTAAATAAAGTTTTCGATTGCTGCTCCTGTCTTCATCAACAACGTGTCGGTATTTGCGTACTCTTACAACTACTGGCAAAGACTGGAAGTCAGAAACCCTGATCCTGCTTAGCAAGATCATTAACTCTTAAACAAGAACTTCGACTTTGACCAATTGAAGTCAAAATATTATAAGAGAATTCAAGTCGTGCCATGCGATGAAAATTAATGAATAGATAAATATCACGTTACAAGGCTTGACGTGACCTACATTACTATCCTAAAGAAATTTATTATATAATATATATTGTTGTGGGTCTAGATTATGGCCTTACAGGAGGTTCTCCAACTTACAAACGCCACAAGTGACACACCTCCGCACTTTCGAACTGGGTACTAACAAACCTATTAACATTTTGCAACTGCCGAACTGTAGTACAAACATTTGCGTAGCATAAAGCTGAAATTCATTTGTAAGTTGAAAGATCGGGAATGCAATTCGTATGCAATTGCATATTACAATTTACATTGACCCCAGTGACTTATTTGAGGATGTATAGACGTGAAATTGACAAGTTACACATCATCATGGCTGAAACGCGTATAGGGCTGAGATAACTCATAATGCAAGTGACTGTTTCAAGAAAATGGTTTGTTGACTCAAGTACATTGTTAACCTGACAATCTACATTTCTTATAGGCCTATTAAAACTTATAACCCGCTGAGCCAGAGCTACAATCTTCTATTTAGGTAAAATTTATGAAAAAAAGAATGATTTGCCAGATTACTTGTAAGACAAACTTAAAAAAAGTATGATTTGTTGTTACCTATGTATACTGTCACCATAATTATCTGTTACTCAACTTATTTTGGCTTTATTGGTGAATATTATACACACCTATATTAATCTCTTTATATATTTCAATGAAATAATCCTATTGTATCCTGCAAAATTGTACTCCCTTAACATTATATATGTTCAAAATATTTTCGTTTGCAGTGTAATGACATGAAAAAATAAAAGCATGACAATTTCTATTATAATTTAGCAACTTGCTCTCTTTCTGTGAAGTTAATAATTAAAATTGAAGACAATATTTCCATACCATTTTTTGGATGTTTTGATTCATAGAAAAAATAATTTTAATTATATATTCAAAACTCGCTAATGTAATTTTCTGTTGTGATTACCTATTGTGTAGCTACTGAAGCAGAGCTAAGCTCAAGGATATACATACCGGGAGGTTTATATATATATATATATATATTCTCGACTGGTGGTGAGCATGTTACGTGCACCCTTAATTAATAACCCTCATGTAGTCGGTGGGTTGTAAACCCCATTAACCAACCGTTAACAAGCTGGAAATATTGACTCGGGTATTAGAGGTTCCTTTTAATGCGTTTCACCAAAGTATACAAGAACCAGCAAACATACCGCTGACGTCAAGTTCAGAAAAGACAGGTCACATATGAGGTCATGCCAAAAGGAAGTGCTAAACCTATCAGGGTCATACAGAGAGGTCATGTTATATGCGTGACTGAGTGCAGGTGAGATCAGGTGCTGGTAAGAGTAGAGTATAGATAGATGATGGACGACAGATCCAGCCAACATTCCATTGTTTAGCTCAGTGGTACTGGTGAGGTGGATCACTGCTGCTTCCAAAGTTCTGCGTCTGGCTCTGTCAATTGGGTGGTGTACGTAACAGCTGAGTTCTTCCCCGGTTCATGACGTGAGAATGAAGGTTATGATGGGTTACGCATGAGTTGTTGGTTTTATCCCTTCTGCAGACATGTTTATGTTCCTGAAGGTGTGTCTGACGGTCTCAGTTGATCTCCCTGACCTGTAAAGTATGCTGAATACTCCTAGAGTGCATGTAGCTCTGGTTTAACGCTTTTGGAGATCATTTTGATAGTTCTATTGGCAAGGTGAAATTTTGGTGAATTGTTCCAGCACAGTATTGTGACTTTTGTTCATCTCTCGTCCTTAACTACAAGACAGTTTGCTCCCAAGGCTTTACTAATTTATTAATATCTCTTCAGATCTGTTTATTCTCAACAAAACTTCCTGACGAAGACTCACCCATTCTCTCATTATTTTCCCTCACTATATGTTGTTTAACATCTTCTTTCTCTCCATACAAAATGTCTTCCGTATGTTTTTTACACTGCATAAACCTTCCATGTGTTAATTTACATGTGGTTATCATGTTTCCTCCTATCAGTCAATGAGGGTATGTCTAAAGCCTTCTATGTTATTCATATATTTTAGTACCAGTAGGTATTGTGAACAAGTCGTTGAACCTATCTTGGCCACATAATTTTTCAAGTGTGGTCACTATGCCAGTATACATCTGGTTCTCACAGGTCAGTTTTGACCTGAAACTTTTTTCAATGTTGAAAACATGTACTGTTATCAAAATGAATAATAAACTCATATAAATTGCCTATCACGTTCATGTTTGGAACGTTCTAGTTAACGGCATTAAATTGGAATTTAGTCAGATTCATATGTGGGTTTCGATAAGATTAGGCTGTAACCTTATCAGATTATTATTATAATTATGGGGGAGCGCTAAACCCGTAGGATTATACAGCGCATGTAGGGGGGGAAGGAAATGGAAGGTATTCAGGCTCAATTCAGGGAACTGGAGCACAGACCCAATTCCCTAGATCAAGAGCCCCTCGCCAGCGTCAAGGAACCTCCCTTGAGGGGTAACCTTATCAGAGAAATTGGCGACTCCCTTGACTTTATCATTTTTCACGTCTGTGTACCACACGTTCAATGGATCGTTCACGGAAGGAAGGTAAGAGGCGAAAAATTTGTGCGGATCATCCATATTGCCAAATCTTGTTTAAATAAGCAAAGGTATGTTGACTGCCTCAAAGAGGTTTAAAGCCTATCGACTACACGAGGCTCCTAAGGCTGCATGTAACCTTTCACTACCAGTCAAGAAAACTTGAACCCCTAAATAGGGATTGAAATAAACTCTGTGCACACGCACACTGAAACTTACATCTCTCGGTGTACACATGCTGGGAATAAAAAGGAAATAAGATATAAAGTGGTACACGAAGAAAACCGTCTGCTGAATTGTGGTTATTTATTTGTAGCTGCAAGAGCAGAGGTAATCTCATAGGTTTTATAAAGCTTCCAGTGGTTGTCGCGCTCTTTGCAAACTTGTAAACAATTCAATTGTTCTATGGTAGGGGACTAAAAGGTTGACGGGTTGGTCGTAGCATATAATACAGTACATGTTTTTTCGACGGGTAGCTCATGTATGGAAAATATTTAATGATGGCTCAAGTTAGAGGAAACGAATTAAAACTTAGGCCACAAGTTCCAAGGTTAAGAAAGATTCCAAAGAATAGCCTATGTATCAGCTGTAAAAGAAAAATTGTAGGAGCTTCATAGCCAGCCAGAATTTTACAACTGTTACTGATAATTTTGCTTTCGAGTAAAATGATCAGTAGCAAAGTTTCTGATCATTTTGCCTGAAGCCAAGATTCCATTGGTATGTTAAATCATATTTTGTTAACACTTCCTATGGTTTTGTTTTTAAATGAAGCAATAAAATTAAATAATTTAATAATATTCACATAACAACCTTATTACAAAGCTTGATAGTGTCATTTGTTTTACCTAGCAATTTTTTTGCGACACTCCACTTATGACCAATTTTGCTGACAATTGTAGCGAAAGACGTTACTTTGTATATGAGAATATACACAGAGGTATAAATGTATCCTGTTGTATATACACTGAAAGGTTATTCTTATTTTAGGGATTAAAATATGCTTGACTGGTAGAGAAGAGGTTACACGCAGCCTTTTATTGACTTATTGTGGTAGCTAGGCTTTAAACCCGTTAGCCAGCCAACTTTGTATGTATTCTGATGAGTGTGTCGTATCTCTTTTAAGCTTTATGTACTGAGAGGAACACGTGGAGGAGTATGTCTCAGTATATATACAATTATAATTTACTGCAGCCTGAAGGAGGCGTGGGGACACTGGAGTTGGAGGAGCATCTGAGCTGTAATGTCGGCGCACCTCTGGCAAGACGGTGATGGAATGATTGATAGTGAAGTGTATCTTCTTTTTTGGGGTTACCCTGTCAAGGTGGGAGACGGCTGATGTGTTAAAAAAATTTGCCTTGGTCCCATATCTGGGATTAAAATATACTTCATTACCTGGAGTTTTCCTGGAGAGAGTTCCGGGGTCAACGCCCCCGCGGCCCGGTCTGTGACTAGGCCTCATGGTGGATCAGGGCCTGATCAACCAGGCTGTTACTGCTGGCTGCACGCAATACAACGTACGAACCACAGCCCGGCTGGTCAGGTACCGACTTTAGGCGCTTGTCCAGTGCCTGCTTGAAGACAGCCAGGGTCTATTGGCAATCCCCCTTATGCATGCTGGGAGACAGTTGAACAGTCTTGGGCCCCTGACACTTATTGTGTTGTCTCTTAACGTGCTAGTGACACCCCTGCATTTCATTGGGGGGATGTTGCATCGTCTGCCGAGTCTTTTAGTGTTTACCAAATTCTGTGGCTCTCTCATAAAAAAATAATTTAGGTCTTCGACTCTGTCTGGTTAGCGGCTTGCTAAAAACTGATTCATATAGGGACTTGAGTAGCACACTCATATCCTTGCTGTCATCTGTGTAGGACCCATCTTGTTTAAGTAGGGGCCCAACATTGGATGTTGTTCTCGACTTTGATTTGGCATAAGAAAAGAAATACTTTGGGTTTCTTTCGATTTAATTTATGGCTTTTAGTTCTTCCCGCGATTCCTGACTCCTATAAGATTCCTTTAGCTTTAGTTCGATGTTTGCTATTTCTCTGACCAGTGTCTCCCTACGCATTGCAGATATATTGGCCTCTTTTAGCCGCTCTGTCATTCTTTTAAGTCGCCTGTAAAGGGAGCGCCTGTCTCTTTCTATTGTACATCTACTCCTCCTTTTTCTTAAAGGAATATGCCTTGAGCATACATGGAGTGCCACAGAGTTCATCTGTTCTAGGCATAAGTTGGGGTCTGTGTTGCTTAGGCTATCTTCCCAGCTTATATCATTTAGGACTTGGTTTACTTGGTCCCACTTTATGTTCTTGTTATTGAAGTTGAATTTGGTGAAGGCTCCCTCGTGACTGATCACATTTTGTCGGTCTGGGGTTCCGCGCATACATGTCTGAACCTCGATTATGTTGTGATCTGAGTATATTGTTTTTGATATGGTGACATATCGTATCAGATCGTCATTGTTAGTGAAGATGAGGTCCAGTGTATTTTCCAATCTAGTAGGCTCTATTATTTGCTGGTTTAAGGTGAATTTTGTGCAGAGATTTAAAAGCTCGTGTGTGTGTGTGAGTTCTCATCTGAGCTGCCTCCTGGTGTTATCACTGCAACAACATTATTTGGTATATTCCTCCATTTTAGGTGCCTTAAGTTGAAATCCCCCAGGAGCAAGGTGTTGGGGGCAGGAGCTGGAAGATTTTCCAGACAGTGGTTAATTTTCAACAGCTGTTCCTGGAATCGTTGGGACGTTCCATCCGGAGGCTTGTAAACTACCACAGTGACTAGATTTTGGTTCTCGATCTTTACTGCTAAAACTTCAACATCATTTGAGGCATTTAGCAGTTCTGTGCAAATAAGTGACTCTGTGATATACAGGCCAACCCCTTCCCCCCCCCCCCCACCTTTTCCTTTTGCCTGTTCACTCTGTCGCATCTGTATAGGTTGTAACTTGGGATCCATATTTCGTTGTCCAAGTGATCCTTTATGTGGGTCTCAGTGAAAGCCGCGAACATTGCATTTGCCTCTGCAAGCAGTCCACGGATGAAAGGTATTTTGTTGTTCGTTGCTGGCTTTAGACCCTGTATATTTGCAAAGAAGAATGTCATCGGACTTGTGTTACTGGTGGTTACTGGGGGACTTTTTTTTCCGGCACTAATATCTGGTGGTAACATGAAGATTTCTTTAATGACCCTGGCATGACGATGGACTTCAAACCAAATTAACGAAAAAAACTCGCGGCACAAAGCAAACCTTTATTATAGACAACGTTTCTTTGTATAGCTTTATCATGGCATAATGCTGCTCTACTCAGAGTTAAACGCTCTATGTAATAATAAGGGTCTCATGAATTCTTTGCCATCTTGTGATAATTTTATCTGTCGGTGAGTCAACGAGGACGTGTCTAATATCTTCACCTCTTTTTCGTAAATACTGTTAGGAGTTATGAAGAAACTCTTATCTTGTCCAAATGTGTAATTACAATGCGGAATTTCTGTCTTCTATATGTATCGTATTAACGGTTTGCCTAACATTACAAATGATGGAGATTAATGGAACTTAAGTGAACAGAATCTTAACTTTAGTTTTCCATTCGTATTCCAATATGAGGACATTATTTAATTTATCAAATCTCAATATTTCGTTTGTCTTGCCACAGAGAAAAGATGGCATTTACCAATTTTAACTATATATCAGGAAAAGAGATCTGTCAAAATGCAAAATGGCAATTACGTTATTATCTATTTTTTTTACCTGTGATAAAGAGATATAACTAGCAGAGAGAAATTAAAAAGAAGCTGATAAGAAAAGCAAGATAACCATAACTAGTGGTGGAGTGTTTATCGTGTCGGGCACGTAAAGCAAGTAATATCAAAGTTTACGTGTTGATATCATGTATTAACAATTTCAAGTACTCAGTGACTTGCGTACGAATTAGCACATGTACTTAGGCTGTTAAACTAACTGAGGAATCAGAGTTGATAGCGACAATCTTAGTGGTGGGGGAGGTTGTTACGATGGTCTCGTGTAAAGTGTGCACAGAAGACTTTACCCTCGGGGAGAGGGCACCTCTGCTGCTGCCCTGCGGCCACACATTTTGCAGACAGTGTCTCGACCTGATTCAGTCCATGCCTCTTGCCCGCTGTCCCACCTGCATGATGACACTCTGTGGAGTTGCCCTGAATCACCTAACCATCAATTACGACCTCATAACCACCGAAGAGAACTGTCTTGCAGCCGACACTTCTTCTCTCGCACACATACAGGTGAGTTTGCACCAACCTCACTATAGCTGTCATCTACAAACACTGAGGTTCTGTTAAAGGGGTTTTTACCTCTTTAACAAAACCACAGTATAATATATGCAAATATTTATAAGAATTCCTAGCCAAAAATTAACAGAACTTTCAAATCCTTTCTGTGTTTTTGCAATATTTTCAGAGGAGCAAACGATCATACATTAATTCTAATATACCTACTAAATGAAACCAAAAATTATACCTGTACACGAAAAAAATTCTCTTCTCAAACTTTGTAATAAGCCAAGTGAATACACATTAGTGTACTAAAGAATCAATAAAGTAAATAAATAAAAAAAGACTCATGTTAACAGGGTCCGCCACGCAAGAAGTCTGTGGCCCCAAATTACAACCTCGGTTCAGAGCGAGAGAAAACTGGTGGCAAGATTAAAGGAAATTTCATTAAACGTTTGTTCAGGAGAACATTTAGCATGATCACTCCAGGCAGGAAGAAAGACAGGACCAAGAGGAAGCAAGAAGAACCATCCAATACCAGCCTCCCACCACGTATTTGTACGACGGTAAAGATAACTATGGTGATAGTGATGAATGAAAAAAATATGAGTGTCCTATACAAAATGTTTTGAGAATACTTGTACTACTAAAAATATTATTGCAAATACGACATCTGCTAATACTATTAAAAATATATTATTATTATTATTATTAACGATTTTAGGTCTTAAGCGTGTTAAGGGGAAACGCGTAGTGTGTGTGAAGTGAGGCACTTGTCGTATATGATTTATACACTTTCTTTTATGTGTACCCGAACAGATTGAAGAGGACGAGGAAGAAGATCGTGATATTTACAACTATTAGAACATAAAACAAAGTCCTTGAAGTTTTCAGAAGAAAAAACCGCAGATGTGGTCTACACGGACTTAAAAATGAATTTGTTAAATGCGACCACGGAGCAATAGTACGTAAAATAGGTCAATAGGTAAAACTGGAAAAATACAGAAATAGATATTTGGATCCCTAAGCAATAGAACACCAGCGGCTTCTGTGAGGGAGGCCTGGGAATTAATGCCTTAGTGTATGGCCCTTATGGGTTCATCGTTTTATCACGAACATAACCGCTTTCCATACTATTGAGGTTTCGCATGCGACTTTACCAGTTATTTATGATTATCTCCAAACTGGACGTGAACACTAATGATAACTACGTACGTGTGTACATATATATTTATCTTATCATTTACGATGATTACTGCCTATTGTACTGGTAATCAGGAAGATGATAATGGGAAAATCTAGCATTCAATAGATTTCTCAAAAATTAAAAAAGAAAATATATTTGAAAACGAAGAAAATGAATTTGTTACGTGAGGGAAAGTGTCTGGGAGCCACGAAATACAGAATGTAAACGCCACACCACCAGTAAACTCTACGTTATTCCCTTTAAAAGGGAAATTAGACAAAACCCCTTAATGTATTAACTAAAAAATATACACATCCCGGTGTTAATAATCTTGCTGATAAATGGTTTATAGCCACTCGATATCGCAAAACTCATTTGGACAGCAAGTAAAGTATATACATCAGACAACGATGCATATATCCCTGATATGGTGATATACACAACGTTATGCATATTCCATGAGCGATTTATAATAACTGATAATGAAAAAAATAGCAAATAACTCGTAAATCATTAACACATTTCGGGAGGCACTCGAACGATTATTATTTGTATGCATACCTGTGTCGTACAGTGAACGAAATGTAAATAATCCAGTTACTGACAAAAAAAAAAAAAATAATTTGTCTGCTTAAGCTGCAGGCCCTTAATATTGAGATGTCGGTATACTTCTCGTAGGTATAATGCGACAGCATAGTGTAGTCTCAGTTACTGGCCACCATTTAAGGTTTATACCAAGACGGGAATAGTCATACCCCGCCCTACGTCATTAACTTGTTCCAAGAGCTGTGACGTAACCCGATTTTTAAGGTAAACCGGACATAATGCCTTAAAATGACGGCAAACACCGTTAAACGAACGTAAATAACTGTTGCTAAACCTTAAAGAACATTAAACACACAATTAAAAACATTATGACGTAGGCGATGTTGCTGAGTGACGTAAAGTCAGACGTAATGACGTTCGCTGAACTGAAATTTAGTCTAGAAAAGTGGCGTAAAGGTGAATTTGACGCAGATGAAAGGTGTGTGACTGTACTGTTACGCATCAAGGCTTTTGTCACAAAGGTTTCCAGATTCTAGTGTAAGGATATTGTTTACCTCGTAATAACATAAATCATGAGCTGTGAAGTTGGGAACATGCCAGGTGGCAAAGAGGTACATATTATTTTCTAATGTAACTGAAGTTTCTGCATGTACAGTGCTAGTGGTATAAACCTTGGTAATAAATACGGACAAGTTGGTTTAGAAAGACACGTAAGCAAACACTATAACATTTATTAGAAAACGTTTTCGGTGCTAGTAGCGGCATTATGCCGGGTGAGCGCCCCGGCATGAACACCTTGACGACGACAGTTTACTAATGTAAAACAAGGTTCTTGAACAGTATTTCAGAACATGATTTATTGCTTATTTGAGAGTATCTGGGTTCATCAAATATTCTTCTCGATACAAATTCGCGCAGCTTACGTCCAGCGTGGAATTGAATTGGTGTAAATACCGACAAGGTGAAGTATATGACACTTAGATGCGGTCGATATCTTTATTGACCACATTTCGCCCACACAGTGGGCTTTATGATATAAATCTTGATATAAATTATCACTGTGGAAGGTAAATGAGCCTCCACCGCATTAGAGTGTCATTTACTTCACGTCCAATATGGCTGATAATTGTTACAAAAAATTGTCATGTCAATGCAAAACCTCAATACACATGTCTCAATTAAATCAACCCTCTTGAACTGCACCATTGTTTAACCTTTGTACATATTTCATAAAGTTCATCCTCCAATTATACTTTTATTTTTCCTTGTAATATACTGAACTGGTTATAAAAATCTGTTTTCTGTCTATCCATTCATGTTAATTCATGAGCTCTAAGTTTCCGTAACGAATACCGGCGACCCAGTTGGTGTCCTCGCAACTGCAAGTCCACAGACGTAACCACTCTTGAAATTTAATTTTCTTAATATATGGTAAAGTATTCTTGTCTGGTGGAGAAAAGATTACGTGCAGCCTCAATCCTAGTGTAGTCTATAGGTCCGAAAACTTATTAACCAACCAACTATATTGTGAGATTCTCAATGTATCTTTCTGGGTCCGTGTTATTTAATATTTTGTAAATTTCTAGCATTGTATTGTTTCTTATGTCGTTTGCATTATTGTCAGTGTTAATTCAGAAGTATAGACTTAATAATTATGGCATTGTGAATAAAGCCTGAGTATTTTTCTTTACAATTCCAGTGGCAATTTAAGATTATTATTATTATTAAAATCAGGGGAAAGCGCTAAACCCGGAGGATTATACAGCGCCTGGGGGGATGTGGAAGGCATTCAGGCTTAATTCGGGGAACTGGAGCACAGATCCAATTCTCTAAATCAAGTGCCCCTCACCAACATCAAGGAACCTTCCTTGAGGGGGGCAATTTAAGAGCAAATACGTAATTCGATTTGGGTTCATGATACTCAAGAACTCTTAAAAAAGTTTCAAAGTATTTGAGAAACTAGGGTTTGTAACAACAATAAACACTGATCCAGTAACACGTTCACTACAGAATAACCATCGGTGAAAATCTGGTCAAGACCTCCATCAGATTCAGTGTTGACACTGGCTGGTGGGAATGCCTTCAACTTTTAACTGAACGACCGGGTTCAATCCTGTAGCGTTTGGAACATGTTTCCTTACATCTGTCACCTGGTAGTAAGTAGGTACTTGAGGGTGTTAGTCGACTGTTGTGCGTCGTAGTCTAGGGAAGAGGACCGTAGGATCCCAGTGGAAATAATCCACACTGATTTACTTCCTTGAGTTACCAACCATCCAGGTAATAATTATGATCGAAGTCTCGGTATTCACTCATCATATGTGACAAATCTGATTTTGTCTTACTGTACCGGGTTTAATTACCTTTACCGTCTCACTTTGCTTCTATGGATGGCTTTAACGTCCTCCATGGTATAGCAGCGTTGTTTTTTGTGCAAGAAATACCGTACAGGGAACTCAGAATATGGGCTTGCAATTGGAAGTCCACGACTGTACCGACTTGACCACAGAGTATTCCTTACAGACTCTGTCACTTTAACAATACGTGAGATACTCATTTTAGTATTTCCTGTTCAGCTGATAATAATTTTTGTGTTTAGCAGTTCTATTTTACAACTTTCCCAATACTTCCCTTTATTAATTACAACCATGATCATCTAGGTAGAATGTTTTCTTTATTACTCCTCAACAATTTTATGACAAAATTGGGATCGAATAATCCCTGTTCAAGAAATTATATCTAAAATGATTTACTTATAAAAAAAAATACAAAAACTTATTCCCAGCTACACCACATGACTTACGAAATCGTAATAACACTATTGCAAACAAATCACAGAACGGAATGGGCTCCATCCCATGGCACGCGAGCCCTAATACTCAGTCCAGTCTGTTAACCACTAATCTATGCCAGCCTACCAGGAGTCACCCAACTAGGTATATTTCTAAATACCACTGAAGTCCTGACTCTACAATGAATTTGCATTATCTGACAGTCTACTGGAAAAATATTTTTGTACATAACAGACACACAAAGTAGTAACAGAGGCAATAAGCATTAAAAATAGTACACACTTCTGTCACTAACATTTACACGAGTCTATCTTTTCACCAGTTTTATTCAAACATCCCGATAGAAACCCTTTGGGTTGGTCTCTGAGTTAATAAAATATATAACAAGGGAAGCTGAGGAACGAAATAATAAACATTATAATAACAATAAATTCAGATAACTCAAATAGTTGGACAACTGAGGGAAGATTGTGAGCCTCTAAACCTCTTATTGTTGATAATATTTGAAGCCTCGTATGGTGAATTAAAGGAACGAGTTGCTGAGCTTTGTCAAATTAAAAAAAAAATAAATAAAAACAACGAGTAAACAAAATGAGAAATTTGTGAGTGGATTAAATCAGCGGCCCTCCTAAAACAATATTATTAAAATTATTGGAAAGAGAAGTTGATAAACTCTTACCCAAATCTGTTCCACTGTGCAAATAAGTTAATCATGAACTGGGTTTACCTTCCTACCAGGCTATTGTTGCCTACTGTTGCTACCTTCGCTGTTACTGTGGCTTCTGTTGCAGCTCCTAAGTTTGATGTCATACTGTTGTTGTTGATGTTACTGATTTTCCTATTGTTACTTCTGCTATTATTGTTGCTGCTGTTAGTGTCATTGCTGTTACCACTGCTGGTAATATATGCTGTTGCTCTTTCTTCTTTTGACTTTGCTGCTGCTGTTTGATTTCTTGCTGCAGCAACTGCTGCAGCTTATGTAACTGCTTTTACGATAGCTGAGAATAGTGGTACTTGGTAGTAGTAAAAACAGAAAACGGGATGACAAAAAAAAATGGTTAACATTTATTTTCGCTTCAGAACCTGAACTGTGTTAAATATTACGAAACGTAAATACTTCACCAATCTTCCACTTGTAAATCGAACAAATTTCTTAGGAAATATTGTGCAGGCTAATTTAAGAGTGTTATATTTCTGGGAAAGCACTAAACCCTTAGGGCTCATACAGTCCGTGGTAGTGGGAAAAAATCAGGTTTGATCCAAGTAAAGAGTAATTCCAATTCCATGGATCATGAGCCCTTCATCAGTCTTAAGGCGCTTTAAAGGGGCGGCGGGTGTTCCGTGGCGTGCGAGCGAAAAAAAAAAATTCGAAAAATTATGAAAAGAGTTAATCATATAGAAAAATAGCTTGTCTCTTTGGTAACACTCTGGTACAAGAATCAATGAATGAACGACAGAACTTTTCAAAAGTCGCTGTGGACTGTCCGAGGTTTCTGAAAGTATTATCCAGAAGGCTGAGGAGGGATAGTTGAGGTGGTTCGGACATTTAGAGAGGATGGAACGGAACAGAATGACTTGGATAGCTTATAAATCTGTACTGGAGGGAAGGCGGGGTAGGGGTCGGCCTAGGAAAGGTTGGAGTATTGGAAGTTTTGTGTGCTATGGGCTTGGACTTCCAGCAAGCATGCATGAGTGTGTTAGACAGGAGCGAGTGGAGACAAATGGATTTTAAGACTTACGTGCTGTTGGAGTGTGTGCAAAGCAACATTTATGAAGGGACTCAGGGAAACTGGCAGGCCAGGCTTGAGTCCTGGAGGTGGAAAGTACAGTGTCTGCACTCTGAAGGAAAGGTGTTTATATGTTGCAGTTTTTTAGCTGTAGTGTAGGCGTGCCTCTGGCAAGACAGTGATGGAGTGTATCTTTTTCAGGTCACCCTGCCTTGGTGGGAAACGGCTGATGTGTTAATAAAAAATTAAACAGGTGACTTCAGAATATGCAAAACAACCATTGTGAAAGAATAGAGAAATTCCAAGCGCTTTCATGACTACTCACATTATCAAGGAACTATTGTTCCTTGATAATGTGAGTAGTCACAAAAGCGCTTGGAATTTCTCTATTCTTTCACAGTGGTTGTTTTGCATATATATATATATATATATATATATATAATTATATATATATATATAATATATATATATATATATATATAATATATATTAAACATATATATATATATATGCATATATATATATATATATATGCATATATATATATATATATATATATATATATATATATATATATATATATATATATATATATATATATATATATATATTATACAGTGTGTGTGTTCCCCATAGGATAATATATTCAATAAAAGACACAGGCTCCTACCCTAAATATTAGCCGACGTTTGTGGTCGAGTTGTATCCTGTCTTACCTGAAGTGTTACATGCGTCCATTTTTCTGCGGAGGTCTCCTGATCCAAAGAACTAGAGCTACTCTCTTCCCCAGATATCAAACCTGATTTCCTCTCCTTCCCTTGGCGCTGTATGATCCTTACGGTTTTAGCGCTTCCCCATATAATAATGATAATACAATTCAATGATGTATCTGAATCTTTAATTAATTATTGTACTTGATAAGGGTGTAACATGCAGTACAATATGTTATTTTCACCAAAATCTAATAAATCACGCCACAGTATATATTTTCCGACATGCTGATAGACATACTCTCTTTTCCTGATAAAAGGGAGTTGTCGTATGTGCAACAAAAATATGCAAATTGCAATAGGGTGGCAAATTAAGGTCAAAGCCTCAGGCTACTTGTAACTCCTTTACTAGTTAAGATATAGGTGAGTACAAATAGGAAGCGTGTTTGTCTGGCGCTCAGCAGACGGAGGATCGAGCCTCTATTACGTCTTGCGCTGAATGACCCACATGGGTCTAGCGCTTAACATGAATTAAATTTACCAATTAAGAATAATATTTAATCTATAAATTAGAGAGTAAAGTAAACTTTCAGTGTATAGCGTAATCGTATGAGAAATTCCTTTAACACTTTCTTTCCTCGACTTCTTTGCTTCAGCATAACCAATGAAAACCCAGCTTACACGTTAAGCTTATTAACAACTGGTGAGAACAGGCAAGGGCGAGTAGAAACATCTGAGTTGCGACTGATCAGTGAGTTGTGTTTAAAGCATGAAAAACATGTAGTCATATTTAAGAATGATCACTTCCCTTCTTCACAAGGAGACAGTCTGGAGTACATGTCTTTCCAAGACCTGCACAGAAAGTTTGTTTTCTGTAAATATAATGTACCGTTGCTTCTTTATTCACTTACTGTTCATTACTTATACTAGTATAAAATTACATAAAACCAATGGCTGAAAATGCACCACAGTCAGAGTACTGTCTGTTTACGCTGCTCCAAGCGTGAGGTGATGGCGGTGGTATTTTATTTGTCAGGAAACGGGACAAGTTTCCTGACGTTGGAGTGTTCATGAAGAATTTTCCAAAACCCTTCTTTGTGGCCAATCCTACCAATGTCTTTGTGTGTTGATTAGTCGTCCTGAAGATAAAGCAGCTGCATGTGAGCCATTACAGAACAAGAAGAGACAACAGGCTTGTGCTAAGCAAAGGAAACTTGCTGGAGGCAGATGAAGGCTTGGAGATGTCAGGTTATGTTGGTGAAGATGCCACAACCAGGAGCCTGAACAACAGATCACACTGCTAAGCATGATCTGAGGAATGAAGGAGGATAAAATATTATTGATAATGAGAAATGAAGATGAAGATAAGTAAAACCATTAGCTCGATGGACTCGCTTCCTTCATCTGTTCATTACAGTGGTAGTGTGTTCCTCTCACAACTGAAAAAAAACATGTTCTGTTCTCCGGTGAAACGAGACTAACAAATGTTCTTATACATAGTGTTCATGTTCACCTGGTAAGAAACACGTACTTCAGTATTAATCTGCTTGTGGGTAGGACCTTAATAGAGGTAAGTCTTGGGTTATCCTGGATTAATAGCAAAGTTTAAATGGCCCCTAAGGATGTCTTCATCTTCTGTCGCTGATGGACTTCCGGGATGTCTATGATACTGGTACACACATGGTACATACTATGTAAATTTTAGCTGTATCATTATATAATAGACTGTATTATATTATACACATGTATTGTATCAGAGAGAATTACTGTGTTGTATTTCCTCGGATTTGCTGTACAGTAGTGTATATGTTGTGTATTTATCTGAAATAATATATATATATATATATATATATATATATATATATATATATATATATATATATATATATATATATATATATATATATATATATATATATATATATATTAACAAGTCGGCCGTCTCCCACGGAGGCAGGGTGACCCAAAAAGAAAGAAAATCCCCAAAAAGAAAATACTTTCATCATTCAACACTTTCACCTCACTCACACTTAATCACTGTTTTTGCAAAGGTGCTCAGAATACAACAGTTTAGAAGCATATACGTTAAAAAAAATACAAAATATATCCCTCCAAACTGCCAATATCCATAAACCCCTCCTTTAAAGTGCAGGCATTGTACTTCCTATTTCCAGGACTCAAGTCCGGCTATATAAAATAACCGGTTTCCCTGAATCCCTTCACTAAATATTAACGTGCTCACACTCCAACAGCTCGTCAGGTCCCAAATACCATTCGTCTCCATTCACACCTATCTAACAAGCTCACGCACGCTTGCTGGAAGTCCAAGCCCCTCTCCCACACAACCTCCTTTACCCCCTCCCTCCAACCTTTTCGAGGACGATCCCTAGCCCGCCTTCCTTCCTCTACAGATTTATACGCTCTCCATGTTATTCTACTTTGATCCATTCTCTCTAAATGACCAAACCACCTCAACAACCCCTCTTCAACCCTCTGACTAATACTTTTTTTTACTTATGATATATATATAATAATAAAATATAAAAATATAATATATATATATAATATATATATATATAAATATATATAATGTATATATAAATATAACATATATAATATATATATATTATAAATATATAATATATATATATATATATATAACAACCATTGCGACTAGCCGAGGTTTCCCGAATCTGTTTTTTGTTTTAAGTAGCCCGCCTCATGGTGAGCGAAAATTTCACGACGCTCTAACTCACGGACCCATTTAAATCCCACAAAATCACGCACCCCAGAGCAAGTGTTGTACCTTTTTCCGAGACATACATGGTGTGAGTGCTTCAGGCTAATTTCATCCTCCCCCCGTTTGGGTGCTAGCTTTCACAACAGTATTAATATACTAGCCTGCCGGGTGCGTGATTCTGTAGGTTTTAGTGGCCCGTGGATTAGAGCTCCGTAAATTTTGCTCCCCATGAGCGGCTAAACAACAGGGATCTAAATCCTCGCTAGTCGCAGTGCCTTATGATTAAATATCACTGTTCCGTGGTTACATTATATTATAATATAATAATAATATAATAATATAAATATTATATATATATATTATATATATATAAATATAATATGAAATAAGATCACAGTAAACAGGTAAATTTTAGATATTCAAAACAACCACTGTGAAAGAATAGAGAAGTTCCAACGCTTTCGTGACTACCCCACATTATCAAGAACAATGATAATTGAGTAGTCACGAAAGCGCTTGGAACTTCTCAATTCTTTCACAGGGGTTGTTTGCATATATATATTTTAAAAATATATATATATATATAAAAATATATAAAAAATATATATATAATATTAATAAATATATATATATATATATAAATAATATAAATATATATAAATTAATATATATAATATATAAAATATATAATAAAATAAATATTTTTAATTAATATATATATATATATATATAATATATATATAAATATATATATATATTATATAATAAATATATATAAAAATATATTATATATATATATAAAATATATATATATATATACAAAAGCTTGATACTGGAGGGTATTTACCTATTTGATAAAGTTCCTGGGTTGGTATCTGTTGGTGTGGGCGGTGTGATTCACCTGATGATGGGGGAGACTGGAGTAGCTATTAGATGTGGAGGCATGCTGCTCATTCATCTGCTGTTGTTGCTGCTGCTGCTGCTGCTGCTGTGGCATAAGGCACTTTCAAACAGGTGAACAGTGAGATTCCTTTATATTCTAGTGTCTTTTTTTCCCCTCAATGACATTTAAGTAAATTACCTGACCTGTAGGGAGATCAAACGGCTCCTGGGGAATGACAGCTAATCAGGTTCAATCCGAGGACGAGGAGAGTAACTACAATTCTCTGTATCAAGAGCCGCTCCAAGGCAGCCCCCTGGAAGGGTGAGCCTCGAAAGGTGGGCATGGAAGGCTGGGCATGGAAGGGTGGGCCTGGAAGGATGGGTCTGGAAGGGTGGGCCTGGAAGGATGGGCCTGGAAGGGTGAGCCTGGAAGGATGGGTCTGGAAGGGTGGGCCTGGAAGGATGGATCTGGAAGGATGAGTCTGGAAGGGTGGGCCTGGAAGGATGGGACTGGAAGGGTGGACCTGGAAGGATGGGTCTGGAAGGATGGGCCTGGAAGGATGGGTCTGGAAGGGTGGGCCTGGAAGGATGGGTCTGGAAGGATGAGTCTGGAAGGGTGGGCCTGGGAGGATGAGCCTGGAAGGGTGGGCCTGGAAGGATGGGACTGGAAGGATGGGTCAGGAAGGATGAGTCTGGAAGGGTGGACCTGGAAGGGTGGGCCTGGAAGGATGGGTCTGGAAGGGTGGGCCTGGAAGGATGGGTCTGGAAGGATGAGTCTGGAAGGGTGGGCCTGGAAGGATGGGTCTGGAAGTGTGGGCCTTGAACGATGGGTCTGGAAGAATGAGTCTGGAAGGGGGGCCTGGAAGGATGGGTCTGGAAGGATGGGCCTGGAAGGATGGGTCTGGAAGGATGAGTCTGGAAGGGTGGTCCTGGAAGGATGAGTCTGGAAGGGTGGACCTGGAAGGATGGGTCTGGAAGAATGAGTCTGGAAGGGTGGGCCTGGAAGGATGGGTCTGGAAGGGTGGGCCTGGAAGGATGGGTCTGGAAGGATGAGTCTGGAAGGGTGGGCGTGGGAGGATGAGCCTGGAAGGGTGGACCTGGAAGGATGAGTCTGGAAGGGTGGGCCTGGAAGGATGGGTCTGGAAGGGTGGGCCTGGAAGGATGGGTCTGGAAGGATGGGTCTGGAAGGATGAGTCTGGAAGGGTGGACCTGGAAGGGTGGGCCTCTGAAGGATGGGTCTGGAAGGGTGGGCCTGGAAGGATGGATCTGGAAAGATGAGTCTGGAAGGGTGGGCCTGGAAGGATGGGACTGGAAGGGTGGACCTGGAAGGATGGGTCTGGAAGGGTGGGCCTGGAAGGATGAGCCTGGAAGGGTGGGCCTGGAAGGATGAGTCTGGAAGGGTGGGCCTGGAAGGGTGGGCCTGGAAGGATGAGTCTGGAAGGGTAGGCCTGGAAGGGTGGGCCTGGAAGGGTGAGTCTGGAAGGGTGGGCCTGGAAGGGTGAGCCTTTAAGGGTGGGCCTGGAAGGGTGGGCCTGGAAGGGTGGGCCTGGAAGGATGAGTCTGGAAGGGTGAGCCTGGAAGGATGAGTCTGGAAGGGTGGGCCTGGGAAAGGGGGAGCCTGGAAGGGTGGGCCCCGGAAGGGTGGGCCTGGAAGGATGAGTCTGGAAGGGTGGACCTGGAAGGGTGAGCCTGGAAGGGTGGGCCTGGAAGGGTGAGCCTGGAAGGGTGGGCCTGGAAGGGTGGGCCTGGAAGGGTGAGCCTGGAAGGGTGGGCTCTGCTTCAGCCTTTTCTCTCATATGTCTCAGATTTTACAGATGATAAACACTTCTGAATATTGGATAACCATTCTTATTAATCGATGACCTTCCTAACCAATGGATGATCTTTCTAGCTAATGGATAACCTTTCTAACTAACGGATAACCTTACAAAGGAATGGGTAATGTAACTAATGGATGACCTTAAGTTATGGATCACCTCCTTAACCAATAGATGACCTCAACCAATGGATGACCTTCCTAAGCAATGGATGACCTTCCTAAGCAATGGATGACCTTCCTAACTCAATGGATGACCTTCCTAAGCAATGGATGACCTTCCTAAGCAATGGATGACCTTCCTAACTAATGGATGACCTTCCTAACTAATGGATGACCTTCCTAACTATGGATGCCTTCCTAGCATGATGACTTCCTAACTAATAGGATGACCTTCCTAACTAATGGATGACCTTCTTAACTACTGGATGACCTTCCTAACTAATGGATGACTCCCCTGACTCAAATAACCTTGTTTACTGCCGTACAATTTCCCTGAAGGTAAAATGACCTTCATGACCTTTGTTCTACCTCGAGGATTCTTGTATGACCTTAACTCGATCCCGACTGTGCTGCATGGGCTTCTAAATACTGGTTTGTAAACTAATGTGATTACCTTTTAAATGATCTGACTCTAGAGTATAATTAAGTAAAATGTCTGCCTCGCTCTCAGAGGACGGAGGATCGATCCTACACCACTCCTTGCGCTGACCCCACACGGGTTTAATGCTTCCCATAAATAAGGCCATTTAATATGATATTCACTGGGAAACGTTAAATCTGTAGGAGTTATGCAATGCCTGGGAAGTGGGAGATAATTAAGTTCCATCCTGGGAAGGGGAGGATAGTTCCAGTTCCTTGGATC